CTCCTCCTCCTCCTCCTCCTCCTCCTCCTTCTTCTTTCTTCTTTCTTCTTCCTGTATATAGTGCAGGGTCTACAGGGTCTCACTATGTAGATCAGACTTGTAGTGATTCTCCTGTTTTCAGCCTCCAAAGTGCTGGGATTACTGGAGCACACCATCATGCCTAGCCTAAGCAGACTCTTTAGTCCACTTAGGTATCAGGTTGGCCCTAAAAGTTTTCTTTTTTTTTTTTCTTTTTACTTTTTTTTGAGGGGGTGGTACTGGGGATTGAATTCAAGAACTTGCACTTGCCAGGCACGGGCTTATTCTATTGAGCTATCTCCCCAGCCCAACAGCTTCTTTTTTATACTCTATATACCAGGCTCTACAATCATGGAATGATGTAGTAATCACACACCCTTAATCCCAGCATCACACACACTATAGTACACAACCTCTGAGAAAGCCTCACCTGTGACTACATGAGGCTTTGTGGGGACATCTAGACACAAACCATAACAATAATTTTTGAAAACAAAATACTGGAATAAGTAACATTTCTTAGGGAAGGAAAATAAATTAGTGAAAGAGAAAAAGGATTAAATGTACTTAACATCTTTATTAATTTCTTAATTTGTCAACAGGTTTCATGCATAATTAACTTACATATACAGTCATCATCCTTAAAATACGTTTTGAAGAGGAGCAGAGGGAAAACTAAAAAAGAAATTGCTTTCTCCTTTGCCTATTTGGCTACAAATTTTCAAGGGAAATTTTTGGGGAAAAGTCTCTGCTCATTTTGGAGTCTTCCCTTGCCAGCAACTAATAAATCCATACAGTACAGTTGCCAAGGCAATGTCAAGACCTCGTAGACAGAGGAAGAGAATGTGGCATGCAGACAAGGGGATGATGAAAACAGATTAACAATGTGAGCATGGGGTGGGAGAAGTGGAAAAAATAAGATCGCATTTCCCTTTGCATCTGTTACTGTAAAGGATTTTCCTCCCCACCACCTTGTTCGAGAAAGTATGCTTTGCCTCCTAATTACGCCCTAACCTCTGCACCTCTGTATTAAGCCCTGTCAGAGTGGGTTCTGGTGCATTCTAGTAAGGCAAAGAAATTCTTCACTTGCTCATTTTTCTGTCATGTCTACTTGAAGCCTTAGATCCAAGCAGACCCTTCCAGATCATGATCACAAAGACAAATGCACCCCATACTCCTAAAGGTGCTCAAATATTTGCTGATAGAATAAATTTACACTTCTCGGATATAAGCAACCAGTGGTGAAATATTTGCTCATTTTTTCTAAGACCGTTGCTTCAGTTTTTAAGACCTCAATTTTTCTTTCTTCAACCCTTTGTCCTTTTCAGGAACAATCCTTGGATTTGCCCTCCGACCGTACAGAATGAGCTACCGGGAAGTCAAGTACTTCTCCTTTCCTGGGGAGCTTTTGATGAGGATGTTACAGATGTTGGTCCTACCACTTATCATTTCCAGTCTTGTCACAGGTACCATATATGGTTTTTGATGGTTTTTAAAGTGTGCTTATTACAAAAGATTGCTTAGAAAAGCAAATGCTTTAGGTTTCTGCTGGATGCATGCTCTGTTCTAGCAAAAAAAAAAATAAATTTAAAAAGTCCCTTCAAAATGATGGAAAAAAGGCTTTAGTAATGCATGAATGATTATAACTCTCATATTTTACCAATCACAAGAGGAAATGGATTTAAACAGCCATGTAATCTGGTCTGCCTCACCATGAACGAGGTGCCTTGCTAGACACCACACGACCAGCCTTCCCTGACCGCAGCGATGTGGTTAACAACAGCGTACAACAGGTCTGTTTTCTCACCCTCTTATCCCACCCAGATAACATCTGGTTGGACAGCCTATTAGCTATTGATGCAAGAATGCTTGTTCTCAGAGCCACCAGGACTTGAGCGGGAGCCTTCTTGGAAGCCTCATCAAGAGGTAATGCCCACGACACACTCACCAACTCTGCTGCCACCAACACTTTCTCTTTTCCTGGTGTACCCGCATGATTTCATTTCCTCCTTCAGTCGCCCCACACCCTTGTTACCTTTCACACTGGTGGGAGAATGGGGAGGGGGTGGGAGATTTCTCTGATAGCTATTTTGTCCACTGACACTTGGATTTTTAACCAGTAGAAGTGCAGGATAGGATTCTATTTTGTATGATTCTGCAATAACAGTCTACTACTGCGTGGAAACAGGTTTAAAAGGTCATTTGACTATGTGGTTGAAAAATACACATGGAACCAAGAAGCTGTAGAAAAATATTACTGTCCTTCCTACCCACTCTTCTCTTTCCCCACAGCACATCTCTGACTTGGAGAAGGAATTTCCATAGACACTGACCCAGCAAGATGGTTTCTGGGTTTGTAGCTAAAGCCCAGAACTCAGGTATTACCAATGACCCTGTCCTCTTTTCCCCACAGCTCACTGTCTTCTCCTAGGCAGACCACATCACCTCCATGTGAGCTGTCTCTGAACATCTTCCCCTCTCTTGCCCAGGAGTTCTCAAAGATGCTTATGGTTTATAGCTCTCAAGAGCTCTGTGACATGAGAACTTTGTAGGACAATTTAAAGGTCATGTGCAGCATTTCATGCTATTACTTAGTTAAATTTTTCCACAATGCCTTGAAGATCTCTGCTAGCTTCCACTTGCCCAAGGCCTTAAAGAAGTAATTACATGTATATAATCTTGAAATGAAGAACGAGTTGCTCGTAAATGTAGAAAATCGTTGATCGGGGGTGCTTGTTTGTGAAAGTAGGCTGGTCCATTGCTGACTAGAAATAATCCTAGTCATTACAATCCTGGTCACAGAAGCTGTACTAAATGCTGATATGAGGGCACACTTCTCACTTTTCTTGGAAACAAATTCTTTGCAAAAAATCATTTATAGGTCAGAACTCCAACATTTTATTTAGAAGAACATTGAATCCCTCTTTATCATCCCTAATGGCAAACCATCTTAACTGAGATCTGAAGTTTTTCCTGGACACAATCTAAGGGATCTTGAATTCCTTAATGCTCTTTCTTCTAGAATGAAATTAGTATTTAGAGATTTCTTGTTTCTCTTAATTTTTCCATGGGTCCATGGTGTTTCTTTTTAAAAGAGGAAAGCCTCTATGTGATATAATTAGAAAATAAATGGTACTTCCCGTGAGTGGCATGGTAGTGGACATGCACCCTGAAGTGGAATTGCATGGTGTTTATAATACTTAATAATCAATTTTATTGAAAGAATAAAGTACTTGGTTGAGCAATTTTACAGAAAAAAACACACCACCGTCCAATCGCTTTGTATGGATAAAAAAATTTTGGTCAAAGTTTGGAGAAATTATCATATGTATAATATTATTATTAAAGAGAAAGGAATTTGAAGGTGCAAGCAACCAATACACAATGAATTTGTATAATGTAACCTAATTGCAAGCTGAGGGTACTTCCACACAAACAGTCAAGAGAGTCTTAGATTTTATTCAGAACTGAATTAAGACAAGGAACTCCAGGGGCATAATTTAGCTTTGTCAAAGATCTTTTTAAGGTGTTCCTCTCAAAGGACTAATTACTAAAGTGTAGTAATTCAGATACTGTGATCAGTTAGCATGAATGATTGATTCAGTAAGAATTTCCTTCATGGTTTTGAGTACAGTCAATCTAAACCAGAGGGAGGTTATGACCCAGTAAGAACGGGGAGGGGGAAGCTTTTGCAGATTACATAGGCCTTGAAGTAGCTCTGCATGTACTGAGAGATGGAACTGAGGAACATGTTGCCTAGGGAGGAAAAAAGTGAGGCTCTATCATTCTGAAATGAAGAAGCAATCTTAAAAGCTTCTAGCTGTCAAGGGGGTGACACGCATCAGTGACGTTGCCCTTTCAGGCTCCTTTTTGTTTTCCTACTTTGATAGAGTCATGGATACAGAGAAATATTTCTCTTTCACAGGAGAAGGAGCAGAGACAAGAGTGATGATAAGTGAGAAGTGATTGCAGTGCAGAATAATATGGACAAAGGGGAGGCAAGGAGACTATTGGGACCTGAAAAGTATAAGGCTAATCAGCTCCAGTTGTTGCCAGGTACCAACAAGAGCCAAACATTCCCATTTTCTTTTAAGAGAACTTAGTTATCCAAGTTTTTAAGAGGTCTTTCATAATTTTAAATATTGATGCAACTTACAACACAAAACACTGTCAACCAAGCAAAGAATATCCATTCATCCAGTTCCAACCCTTGGGGTCTCAATAAGGCAAATGAAATTGGGATGTTGGTATTAAATTATGAGAAACACACTGTTAAACTTGTGTATCCATCGAGCTGTCTCTGAGCTTCTTATATTGCCTGACTCAACCATCAGCAGATTCTTGCTAAAGCTTAATTCATAATGGTAGAATGAGCTACTGAACACCATGTTATTGTTGGCTAAACAAATAGCTATGGTGAAGGCTCTCTTCTCCATCTTCTGGGTGTGACACATTGTGTGGCATGACTGCTGGGTTTTCTGAACCTAAGAAGAACATCATAATAAGAACTCGTAGGCCACAGTCCCACAGAAATTGTTTCCCAGTGGGAAAATGCTTCATAGATTTAGTGCTTCCTAAATTCAAATGCCCTATAGCTTGTGCAGTAGAAAATTAAATTGCATTGAAATCTGTATTCCATTTTGTTTTGGAAGATTCTAGGGAACATGCTATATATTTAATGTACCAAAGTAATATTTAGGGGTTTTTTGTTTGCTTCTTTGTTTTAAGTGTAATTTTGCAGTTTGGGAAGTTGTTGTTGCTTCTTGTTTTGCTCTGCATTAAGGTTATGTTTGTTGATTTTTTTTTTTTTTTTTTGTGGTGCTAGTGCATGGTGGGCAATTGTTCTACCACTAAGTTTCATCTACTGCCCTGGAAGTCACACTTAAACTATAAAATACAAGTTAGATTTCTGTACTTGAAACATGGTGTTTGTAAATTAGGGCTCTAAAGTCCCTAAAAGCTTAGTTCCTCTTGTCCTGAATTGAAATTCCAATCTTTCCAAACATCCCTGGTGTATTAGCATTCCAGAAGCTGCCAGCAAGAAGCTGGGAGAAAGCCTAATGGCTACATGTGTACTCAAGTATCTATTTTTTTAAACAAGAAGAATGTGTCTATGCCAACACATCACACAATAAAACAGGGGGTTGGCACCAATTTTTATTGATTTTGTCAGGATCGTAAGCCAGCTAGCTATTTCATGCCAGAAATATGAGTTGGTTTGGATGGGTCAGCATGGTGTAAATTCACTGGATAAAAATCAAACACATATCTGCTTTTCCATGTGGACATAACTATTGCCTTTTCCTTAGTTCTGAATTTTCTTAGAAAACCAGAGCTTTTTCTCATTCTAAATGAGCATTTCTCACAATAGCTAACCACAGAAGAAATCTTTGGTGTTTGCATAGTTTTCTGGGAGTACTTTCTGCAGATAGCCTGAGTGGAGTGGGGTATGCTGTTGGTAAAAGAGATAAGAGAGAAAGCTCTCTCTTCAGTTACAGCAAAGGCCACAGCAGTGGCACACTGGAGCTAAGCTCTTAAAATGAAGGACATTCACCTTATAGCATTCATTCATTCCTTCATTTATGCACAGTCGTTCACTGTGTCCAACATTGAGTTAGACACGGGCTACCTGAGTAAATAGTCTCCAAGTGTACATTGGGTGAAAAGAGGGAACTCTCTCAAATTCTTTCATGAATAGCCTACATGTAAGCAAACTCCCATTTGGATATTACTGGTTCTCTGCGCTGTCACCAAGAGAGAACTTGAATGATTTTTAAGAACAGGATTCCAACTCTGATTTTCAGAGTCTGGCATCTCCTTCCCAAAATCAGCTTACCAAATGTTTTCCAGTGTGGCTATTATCTCTCTATCACTTACTTAAAATTTTATTTCAATGGACTTGCTTTTCCTAGGATACTTCAAGTCACTACCCAAAATGGATTCCTTTTGAAGGATAATATTACAGAATTCTGAATTGACACAGTTGCCTGAGAGAGGCTCAGAGAGCCTGAGACCGCCCATTCTGGTTTAAAAAGAAGAGGGATGGTTAGCCGTGCTCACAAAGCATTGAAAACACATGAACACTGAAGACTTCACCTGCCCTGTGACCCAAAGAATTGAAAAGGCTGACTTTCTTATTTATTCTATGATTTAATATATAAGTTGAGGAAGAGTTTCTGTACCACCAGAACCACTGTATTTACCCCACAGTGGAAAACACTGATGCAATCTAACCATTCCTATAGTTTCTCTTCCAAATGGTTATCTACCTTTGACCTGAACATTTCCAAAAGAAAGAGGTCTTTAGAACTCATTTGTTTTTGGAAAACTAACGCTTATTTTTAGTATCAAAATTAAAACATCCGGGCATTGTGATGCATTCCTGTAATCCCAGCACTCAGGAGGCTGAAGTAGGAGGATTTCTGGAAGTTCAAGGCCAACCTGGCCTACAAAGTGAATTCAAGGC